TATGTCTGTGTGTTCTACCCAGGGAAGCCCTGGGCACCAGGGCTAGCTTTCCCAATGCTAATCACTGGGTAAAAAGCAGGAGAGGCACCACACTGACTCCAGGTAGCAGAGGTTAACAGCATCTAATGCATTTATTAACCCTCTGGTGCCGGGGACTGGCGTGGTCTGGCCCCACAATGACAGTGCCCTGGAAATTCTATTATGTGACGTGCCTGGACTTGCGGATAACCGCCAGTGACAGTTTTATAACACAAGAGCAGCAGCTGCAGGAGTGACAAGGCGTGTGAAGTGCCTCAGGCACAGGTTTCCTTGGTTTGCTAGAATGTGGGGAAGGTTTGGGCCCAGGCTTCTCCAGGGCTCCCCCCACCTTCCCGTTCTCAAGATGCAAACCGCGAGGTCCTCTGTGTGTTGGTGGCGATTCCACCATCTCAGAACGTCTCCCGCATCAGCAGTGAGGATGCATACACTTTTTGTGAGATGAAATGATTCACTTTATCAATATATTGTAACAGTGATTCGAGTAGACTTTTAGAAGAAAATCCTTTTTTAAAAAGATTTATTTATTTGCAAGTTAGACTTACACAGAGAGAGGAGAGGCAGAGAGAGAGGTCTTCCATCCTCCGGTTCACTCCCCAGTTGGCCGCAATGGCTGGAGCTGCGCCGATCTGAAGCCAAGAGCTTCCTCCAGGTCTCCCACGTGGGTGCAGGGGCCCAAGGACTTGGGCCATCTTCTGCTGCTTTCCCAGGCCATAGCAGAGAGCTGCATCAGACGTGGAGCAGCTGGGTCTTGAACCGGTGCCCATATGGGATGCTGGCACTGCAGGCCAGAGCGTTAACCTGCTGTACCACAGTGCCAGCCCCATAGCCTCACCTCTTTTTAAGACATAGTAGAGGTTTGGTGTCCAGAAAGGTGGGGCAGGCTGAGGGCTGTGTTGGGGCTCTCCTACCCCGTCATTAGCTGAGCCCTGTGCCAACACTTCCATGTTACAGCCCAACCCTGGAAGGGGCGCTTCCAGATTCTGACTCCATGTGCCTTACAAAGTCTCAGAAGTTGGTTTGCTGTTTCATTTTCCTGGGGCCATCCCAATTCTCAACAACCAAGGCAAGGTTTGCAGTATGCAAGCGGTCTTTGAAGCGACCATTGCGAGGGGATGGGGGAAGCCCTGTAACTTTGTGTCTCTGCATTTACCATACCTGGCTTGCAAGACACAGTGATAGCTTGATGGTGTTTTCAGAAATGCCTTTCAAGTGTGGACACAACAGGTTTGTCAGCTGACATGGGCTTGAAGACCCAGATGTTCTTATGTAGGCGCCTACCCTTCAGGCGTCCCTGGGGACTTCCACAGGGTCCCAGACTCAAGAGCATGCAGCAGGCCGGAAGCAGCCGGGTCTGAATCCAGGGCCCGCCCTCCACCTGTGGCGTACGCTGTTGGGCCCATGCTGTCCCAGCTGCCAATTTTCCACCTGTAGTGCACACTGTCCGGTCCAGGCAGCAGAATCCACTCTGGCCTGCCTCTCATTGGAGTGAAGTTTTTAAAGCTCTCCCTTCCGCGTGCAGTCCTTTGATTCTGGAACCGCCGTGCCACCTGCCACTTCCGCCCCCAGGAACATTGCCCTTCACCTGCTGCTCAGACTTACGGCCCGCGGTGGCCGCTGCATCACGGCACGTTCCCGGGCACCGCGTCCTCGCGGGAGAAAGCTTGTGAACACGTGTAAGCAGGGCCTCAGAGACCTGGCTGTGGGCTTCTAGTCTCTGGAGTGCCCCGTGCCTCTGAGGGGTAGGGAGGTGTTGCACAGGAGAACAGGCGTTTTCCCAGAGCATCCACAGGGCCTGGCTGCCCCTCCTTCCCTGGACTCAGCCCCTGTCAGGTTATACCAACCTGAGTGGCCCTCTGGGCAAGGAGAGCTGGGGGACTGCTGCCCTGGCTTTGCTCAGGCCCCTGGGGCTGCAGGGAAGCAAGGCCAGAAGGTGCCCCTTTTCTGCACAGAGAGGCCAATGGGCTGCCCACTTTGAAGAAACAAGAGCCCAGATACCTCCTGGACTTGGAGCTGGGCTAACGCATTTTCCTGTATCATAGTCATTCCCGGATGCAGAGTGAGACCCTCGGGGATTAAGGAGGGCTCAGAAATCTGCCTTCTCCAGGGCATGGCTGGAAGCCCCTTCACCATCCTTTACTAATGGTGGAGTTGTTAGCCGTTCTACCAGTGCTGGAGCAGGTTCCTGGGTTCCTGGGGTGACTGAGAAGCATAGCTGGTGAGGGTCCCAGATGGTGCAGACGGCAGGTGAACCCTGCCTGCGGGCGCTCACCACAGTGTACGTGGCCGGGTGGAGGCCTCCCCTCGGAGCCTGCTGTGGTCCAGACGTGGAGGCGCAGCTTGACAGTGACTAGAAGTTCCGAAGGCACCTGCAGGCATACCGCGCCCCAGTCTGGAGGTCACGCTGCCTTCTCTGTGTACTTTAGCGAATGTGTTTGTTATACAAAGGATCTTAGCAAGTTCCTGTCTTTTGTAGATGACGGCTTAGGAAAGGCAGAATGTGACGTTTTAGGGCCATTTGGGTGTCTGGGCACAACTCCAATCTTGAACAGAAATAAACCATGTGAAGTTGTCCACATTGTTCTCTGGAGGGAGCAGTAGACCAGAGTCACTGTTCATAAAGAAGTAGGCTCGTGGGTCGGGCTCAACTCCTCTCTGGACCTTCCACGTGACATTTAGTGACCTTTGAACAGCTTGGGGATGCCGCCCAGTGCCTTACTTTTGATGCCTGTTTAAAGGTTTCTACTTCATATGCACAGCTGCCATATGCAAATACAGGCAAAGATGAGGATGCTGCCCCCCGAGGAGTGGGATGGTAAGGAATTACGCGGCGGTGAACCTGCTATCATTTTCAGTGAGTTGCAAGCGCCTTGCCATGGGTGCCAGCCTCACACAGCTGGCTGTCCAGCTCCTCCTCGATTCAGGTGTGATGCCTACCCAGGCCTTGTCCTGAGGCGACAGCGAGGTGGGGGTGTCACAGGCGTTCCTTGGGTGGACCTGGGAGGAGGTAGAGCCTTGGGGAAACACCATGATGCAGAAGGGAACGCATTTTCACCCAAGCAGTGCAGACTTGGTCTGCATCCTCACTCTACACGTAGAGTGCTGTGTGACCTTGGATAAGTCACTCCCCTGGGCTCTGATTGCTTTTCTTGGTAAAACAAAAAGGTTTGTACTGGGCCAGCCATTTTCACGAGTGTTTCCGTGGCCATTATTTGAGCAATGAAACCTTCTCTTCAACCAAATCTCAGGCAGAGGCCCCGTGGATGGTGGCTCCAGTTAAGAGGATTTACCAGGAGCTCAAAGTTTCCAGAACCAAGCTCCTTTGCAGCTTTCCCAGGGGCAGATTTCAAGGTGTAGGACTGGGGTCTGTAATGGCCTGTGAGGTTCATCCAGGCACCCATCCGCAACAACCCGTGTCTTAGTGCCCAGTGAGTGGCTTACTCAGGAGGGTAGAGTTCCCCCAGCCCAGGGACTATGTTGTCTTTGTTTGCCATATTCTGCCCAGTGTTGGAAAACAGGAGCATGGTAGGTGTTTGGTCACTTATTTATTCATTGCTCTAGTTAGCAAAGAAGCTTCAAGAAGGCCCCTCTCTAGTTAACTAATCAATGGTGATTAAAAATAGTTTTTATTTATTTGAAAGCTGGAGTGACAGAGGGAGAGAGCTTCCATCCTGATTCCCTCCCTAAATGCCCTTCAACAGCCAGGGAGAGGCCAGATGGAAGCCAGGATCTCCACCAGGCTCTCCAACATGAGTGGCAGAAACCCAAGTACTTATGCTATCATCTGCTGCCTCCCGGGCACACTGGCAAGAAGCTGAACCCGAAAGTGCAGCTGCTGGCATTAGAACAAGGTACACTGATATGGGGCACAGGTGTCCCAAGTGGTGGCTTAATCATTACCCCCCCCATACCTGCCCATGAGTGGGCATTGTCACTGCAACATTTTTAAGTAGGAGGAGACGCCTCCCAAAATCAACATTCAGAAATATAATCAGGTGATCAGAAATTTTTCATTAGTAATCTAATGCTGCCTCTACTGCCCCTACAGAAGCCATGGTTAGCTCCTAAGCTTTTGAAACAAGGAAGGTCTTAATTGAGCTATGGCACAGTGAGTAGCAGGTTTTGAAGACTTGGTATGAAAAAACAAAATGTAAATTGTCTTATTAAAAATATTTAGATTGGGGCTGGCGCCGTGGCTCACTTGGCTAATCCTCTGCCTGCAGCGCCAGCACACCGGGTTCTAGTCCCAGTTGGGGCGCCAGATTCTGTCCTGGTTGCTCCTCTTCCAGGCCAGCTCTCTGCTGTGGCCCAGGAAGGCAGTGGAGGATGGCCCGAGTGCCTGGGCCCTGCACCCGTGTGGGAGACCAGGAGGAAGCTCCTGGTTTCGGTGCTTCATAGCAGCCACTTGGGGGGTGAACCAACGGAAAAAGGAAGACCTTTCTGTCTCTCACTATCTAACTCTGCCTGTCAAAAAGAAATTTAGATTGGGACCTGTGCTGTCGTATAGCAGGTAAAGCCCCTGCCTACAATACCGGCATCCCATATGGGCACCGGTTCTTGTCCTGGCTACTCTACATCCAATCCAGCTCCCTGCTCATGTGCCTGAGAAGGCAGTGGGGGATGGCCCAAGTACTTAGGTCTCTGCACCCATGGGCTTTGGCCCAGCCCAGCCCCAGTCGTGGCTATTTGGAGAGTGAACCAGTGGATGAAAGATCTCTCTCTCCAGCTTAGATTGATTCCATGTGGAAGTGAGACTATACCGGGATAAGTAAAATATGTTGTGAAAATTGACTTCACGTGTTCTTTATTAGGCTGCTACTAGAAGACTGTAAATTATACAGGAGGCTCACCGTGGGGCTCGCGTACTTACTGCATAGCACTGCGCCGAACGTTGATTAATGGGTCGCCGGTAATTGCTCTTCCCCTGTTAGGTTTGAGTCTTTCATTTTCTTGTCTTTCCGCAGGCACAGAAGTTGAAATCCAATGTGTCAGGCAGCACCCACCTCTGCCTCTCTGATGTAAGTTGTGTTTCTTTTTGAGTCTCTGGGTCCCTGGAGGCAGAGGAGGAGAGAAAGTGTTCAAAGACAAAAAGGTCTCCAGTCCCGAGAAGGCTGAGCCCCGCCCACTCCGCGTCCACTGGCCCTTTGTGCAAGGTGCAGGTTTTGGATCCAGCACCCAGAGCTGTAACTGAGCGTGGGCCTTCAGAGCTTCGTCGGAGAACAGAGCCCCGCCCTAGTGCTGGAAGCCACTCTGTTCCAAGTCCCGGCACAGGGAGGATGCAGGACAGCTCCCAGTGCTCGCCCTCTAACCCTCACAACAACCCCAAAGGCAGACAGTATGGGTCTCACCCAGGTTCGTGGTTCTTTCTCGTGAATTGAAATCTCAGGGGAACCTCGGGTCGGCTTTGGTGGGTGGCTCAGCCAGCTAGGGGCGGGGTGTTGGGCAAAGGGTGCATGTATGCTGTGCTCTGGTACAAGGAACACACTCAGTGGGTGATAATGAAAACTTCCTTTCTTTCAGCGCGATTACGAAAAGGATGGTCTCGCTGGTGCTTCCAGCCACATAACCACAAAATCAATGGCTGCTCCTCCAGGCTGCGGTCTGAGCCCACTTCTGGCCCTGGTGGTAACTGCTCTGTCCACTCTGTTATCTCTATCTTTGGCAGAAACATCGTAGCTGCATTTAAAGAAAACAACATGGACATGTAAAAAGACAAAAAATCGAGTTATCTGTTTCCTGTTCTCTTGTACACCTCAAGTTCCGGTTTTAGGAGCCCAGTTGAGAAACAGTTCCATCCGACTGGAGCTTTATTTTATTTTATTTTTTTTCTTTCAAGAAAGCTTCTTGTGATCTTTCAGGGCTTCTGTTGGAGAACCTGAGGCAGTGCTACATTCCCAGCGGAGAAGGCTCTGGGGCACACTGTGTTGCCGAAGGACAGTGTGTAAATCTGATTGTAGAGCAATCTGGGGCCATGGTTTCCACGGCGGTGGTGGTGATGGTGATGTTCACGGTTTTGACTCTGACCAGCTGGAGAAGGATTTGCCACTTCAAAAGATCTGTATCCATGCAATGGCTTTGAGTTCTAATGACATAAACTGCAACCTAACATAGATGACAAGCCTTTTTTTTTTTTTTTTTTTTTTTTTTGTGCTACAAAGCGCAGATTCTCATGAAGAGTGAGCTTTGTGGAAACAAGCTTGTGCCAATGTTCACCTTTTTATATGTGCTAGCATTTTCCATGCTAACGTTTATATACTGTAAACAGTTCTGTATTTGCCTGCAAAACAAAAAAGCGCCTGCCACATCCAAATGTAGTATTGTCTCTTAGTCAACAGAACGTGGGCGCGACACTTCACAGTACCTGGATCATGGATCTCCTAAGCCTTACCTGAGTGTGAAGCCCTTAAGTAGCAGGTGTCAAACGTAGCCGAAGCATCGCTCTAGAATTCTTTACATTTATGAGGTTATATGTAGACAAAACAGTTTTACTACTAAGTGATTTCAACTCTCGGCTTTCTATATTTTGAAAGTAATGATACGGTCTTTGTTTTTTTTTTACTGATGGTTTAATACAAAATATGTGGAACTTGTTTTCCTCTCCTAAGTTAGCTCCAGTACTCACTTGACAACTACAACTCTTCAAGAGCAGACTTGGAGGGACCTCGTGGTCCAGAAGGAAGCTCTGTTGCAGCCTCACAGGGGGCAGGAGGAAGCAGCGCATCCCAGCGTTGTGTCCTGAAACACAAGGGTGCCCGCCTGTGAGCAGCCACGGCGCTGGCAAACGTTCTGCCATGTCTGATGGCAGCCTTGCATGGACACAACCCAGAAGCTTGGTATCACCTGCCACAGGCCGCTTTGATTGGGATGGGGCCAAGGACATGCTGCCCTCTGAGAGCAGATCCTGGCTCGAGGACACGGTTGTTTCCCGAAGGATCGTCTTTAAACCTGACCGTGACGTCTTGGCCGCAGTTGCATCTGGAGGGCCCGAGGGAACGCTTGCATCTTGTTTCTGTCCTCCGTGGCAGGTGGTGACCGACTACGCAAAAACGAGAGAAAGGAGGTTTATGAATCAAGAGCATCAACATGAGGCTTGGGGCACAGAGTTGGTTGGCACAGCGAAGCAGAACAGGACTCTGGGGATAAGGCAACCGGCTCTGACACCCGCATATCGTTCGTTGTTCTCTTCCTTGAAAGAACAGACCCTAAAGTGCACTTTGGATGCCTGGTTTTAGATGGTGACACTCAGAATCAGCAGTACACCAGTACTGGTGGCGCGCTCTCCCACACAGACAAGAGAAGACAGGGTTCTCTGTAGCCGCGTGCTGGGGAGGGGCTGGAGGAGCAACCCCACAGCGCGCAGGTCTTAGCATTGCCCTTTGCCCACTGAAGTTTGCCTTGAAAGATTCATCACACTACTGGGGGGAGGGAATCTATGAAATCCCAGGTAAAGGCATAGTCTTATAGCTCTCTTGGTGTTTGAAGTACATTTATAGCCAAATGTTAATAAACACAAATGTATAATACTCACCACCAACTTTTTTCACTTCCAAATGTTTTCAAGGGAAATTCATGAAACACCCAACTGTATTTGAGTAGCAAGATTCCATAAAGACTCTGAATAAACACATTAAATGTGTCAAAATATTTGGAATGCTAGTCATCTATGAGGGCCTGTCTCTTACAGAGCATATTTAGTTTGGATTAAGGTATCTCTGTGTATCTACTCTGGACTAATTGCACGTGGGTCTGAGTCTGTGTGATCCACTGTAGAAAACTATTGATTCCTTCTGCAGTAAACAGCAGCTCTAATTAGCTTCAGATGACCAAAGAGGAAACGGGAGTTCTGAGTGCTAACAAGGGCAGGCTTTATCGAAGAATGCGTGGATATGCAACACATAAATTAAATTTTGAAAAGCCTCATCCATCACCAACAGAGACCTCATTTTTCTTCAGAAATAAAAGCTATATTAGAGTTATCAAATCCTCCGTTTGAAAAATAAGTTGCTGATTAAATAAACTGGGAGTATCTTGTTCAGGGACCACATGTTAGAGATTTTACAAAATCCAGCCAAGCCAGTGCTTCTGCCAACCAGGATGTTCTCATTTTAACACGGTGACCCTGAAACACTGAAGCAGGCCAGTGATGTCGTCTTACCCGACTTCCTCTTGGAGTTTGTAAAAGCAAAAGTGATTTTCCTATCCTTTAGTCCCTATGTTGATGGACTGTCTCTTGACTGGCATTGGGGCCTCTTGCAGGAGGCATCTTGTTGTAGTTGATGCTGATTGAAACAAAGCAAGTTAGGCCCATGGAGCCCAGGACTCCCAAAGCAAGTCCAGCCGTACCCTACTTCTTTCAGAGAGACAGAGGACAGAGAAAGGCAGTATTTCCAGACTGATTAGAAGCACATTCAGCCCCCTTTGATGTGGAGTCTCTTGGACCAGTATGCATTGGAGTGTCGTTTCCAGAGAGCACATGAAGGAAGAAGTGCACAATGTAGAGAAGGCGCTCGGAATGCCAAATGCATATTTTTTCATATCAGATTTTTTTCAAGCCTCTAATAGAAAAAGTCTACATTGCAAATTCCATAGTTTATTTTTTCATTGAGCATAGCAAAGTGTATCCAGATAGTGATAGGAATGTGGGTTCCATTTAATTTTCTTAAAATACATTTCATTTCCCTGTAGTAAAAGTGTCTTAGAAGTTGTGGCTGTGTGGTCATCCGATGAAGGACAGGGCTCCTCTCCGGGGCCCATGGCCTCTGACTGGGCCTGCTCCTGGGTTGTGTGTGCTCCAGGGGTCAGGGCACCCAGCTCCATCTCCCTTCCTGCCTCAGTCAGACCCTCCCCGCCACTCCATCTGCCGAGTTAGGAAAGTGGAAGGCGGAAGCATTTTTGAGCCAGTGTGAAGTGCTTGGGAAACGAAACATAAGAGCAGTGGAAGTTTATATAATTAGCAAATTCTTTTCTTAGCACCCAACATAAAAACTATTTCCATTATTATTTACAAAACAGTGGCCTCGGGGGAGCTGTCTTTTGGAAAGTCTTCATTCATGTTGTTAGATGTGCGTGACTTACTCAGGCCCATGAACCGTGGGCTGGGAAAGGGCTACGTGGATGACACACGCCCCTCGCTCCTGGACTCCTCGCCCCGTGGTCCTGGGTGCTCTTGGCTGTAGCCAGCGAGACCTTGGCAGAAGCAAGGGCAACAGACTGGAGTGAATGAGCCCTGGCCCAGGCACTCTGACAGCAGAGAAGCCCGTCTGCAGAGAGCTTGGAGAACGCGGATGGAGAGCAGAATCGTGGTGCAAGAGGCGGCCTGAACGTGTCACGCAGTCTGCTGATGGCCCTTGCTGACCGGAATCGGCAGCGAAACAGCCAGCGTTTCCTAAATCAGGCAGCAGTTCCTCCACAGAAAGGAAAGCCAGGAATATCTGCAATTTCTTTTTGCAAAGTCTCGCGTGGAGCAGCTGGGGATTTTGCTGGCTGCTCTTAGGAGCTCCACTTTGCTCTGGTCCCCAAGACGCCCAGCGCTGTACACGTCTCGCCACACGCTGAGCTTGACCTGGCTTTTCTTCTCAAGAGACCACTCATCTAAGTCTCCCGACTGGAATTCTTTTCACGGGCCCCCGAGAGCCAGTTTTCACAGCAGAGGCCTGAAATCTCCGGTTCTTGCCGCTGCCTCCAGCTGGGAATGCATTAGGTGGGGCATTTCATTCCCCGAGGCCCGTTATTGGACGACAGTGGCCAACTCCACTCTCATTCATATCCGGAATGGACACCTTCACCACCCGCCCTTGTTCTTCGTGGCCTCCACATCTCACAGGGCCCCTGCCCAGCAAGTCCTCATCCTAAAACCACGATTTCTATCCGATGTCTGTTTAGGATGGAGCTGCCCCTCTCCGGAGCTCGACAATCTAAAGATGATCTTCATCCCCAACTAGGAAGTGCGTGTGCCTCTCCCTCCCGAGCCCACTCTTCTCAGCTGGGGGACGTCTTGTCTGCTACATCCTCACCGGAAGTCTCTTCTCCTCTCCAAGACAACACAGGGGTGGCTGGCCGGCAGGATGCGACATCTGCACTTCTGTTGGTTCCGAGACCCAGCCAGAGGGGTGGGGCAGGCATACAACCCCTACTTCCATAAACCGCCTGTACAGAACCCCAGCCTGCTAATTGTCATCAAGGCCCCGGCCCCCTGAGGTCTCCAAGCTCATTTGACCAGCACAGCTGCGACTTGGGCTGTGTGCCTCTGGCAGGTGCCACCATCAGCATCTTGTCCCACTGCCATGAGGAGTTTGTTTTTGTCCAAGGGCAGCTGCCAAACCCGGCACCAGTATCAATAGAAGGTTCTCTCTGTTTCCTTTGCATCTCAGGCTGGGTTTTCCTACCAATTCCCATTTTTGGGTTGTGGAGAGAGCAGGATTCTGGGGAGAAACCATCAGCTCTCCATTCATTCTGATGTCTTTGCCTGCTCACCAGCCTGCCCGAGCTGGAAGTGTGACCCATACTAAGTATTTAAACAGCACTGGATGAGAAGTTTTGGGATAGGGCTTTGTTGTCATACAGTAGCATGAACTGGCCCACTTGCATAACCCTGCTGGCATCCAGCTGTGTTTACCCAGGATTTGTCCTCCTGAGATTATGGAGGGACAGACACCTGGGACCGAGAATCTTAAAGCATTTGGACCAAAACAACTTCACATCTGGCCCCTTTGTTTCCCACCCAGGAGGAGCTCAGCATGGCCAGCCAGGCCCAGCACAGTCAGCCATCTGCCACCGAGGCCAAGACCCAGAGTGGGGTGGGCTTTGTGGGAAGTTAGCTCATAAGTATGTGGGCAGGAGAGATGGGCCACTCTCCGGAGGATATCCTCTCCAGAGGCCAAGTCAAGTGCTTGTCCATTGAGCACATTTCGTGAACGAGGGTTCCGAGTGCGTGAACCATCACTTGGAGCTCAAGTTCCCTGGTGAGCATCTTGAGAAGGTGGGGCCCTCTGACATCAGCTTAGGGAAAATGCGCATCTCTTCCAGATGGGCAGAAGCCTTTATTAGACATCCTTTAGACTAAATTCTTTTTATAAATAGTGCATGCACCTGTTTTGCAGGTTCGTCTCCAAGACTAAGTCTCTGTCCACATTTGTGTTATAGGAGAGCCCAGTGCACACTCACTGGGAGCGGCAAACATATGACCCTCTTCCTGAGCCTGAAAAACCACCATGGAGAACCCAGATGATCCCTGCTCTGGGCCTCTGATGGCTGCGAGCTTAGGCAGAGGGTACACAAGTGGAGTGGCCAGAACTGGCTGGTACCAGCCACAGTGCAGGCGGGATAAGACACTAGAAGTGCTTTAGCAAGGACAGAAGCAACAGTGCTCAAACACAGCAAAACGTGAATGTGCACAGTGACCCCGATGCCCCCCCCACAGCCCTAACATAGATCAGGGGAGTAGGGGGAGGTAGGATAAGAGCTGGAAAATCCAGTGGATGCTCTGGGTGTAGGAAACCCAGGGCTATCGCTTCCTATACTCAGTAAGGTCAGGTTGGTCACCTGGGGCCAGGCCAGGGTGACTGCAGCAGGTACAAGTGAGGGCGCTCTGGGCTGTGTCTGAAGTAGTAGGCAAGGCTCACATTTAATGCTGTGTGTGTGTGGGAGCGAGGGAGCGAGGGAGAGAGCGAACGAACCAGAGAGAATTGCTACAGGGCTGCATGATCCAGCATTATCCTCCTGGCACGCAAAGCATGCCTGATCTCAAGGTTGGGTTTTTATTTTATTTTAGCCTTAGCTGAAGGCATTTCTCAAATGTGGCCAAAAAAAAAGAGAATGGAAACTGTAGCACCAAACCCCATGTCGCCCTGCCTTATTCGGCCGTGGTCTTGCTGTAATCGGGCCTTCCTGATGGGCTGTTCTGGATTCAGAAGTAGCCAGCTGTCCTCAGAGGGTTGAAGAAATGGCTTCAGCACCCTGAAATCCAGGGCCTTACAGTTCTCCTAATTATCTGTCTTTTCTCTTCTTTTCCTTTCCTTCCCTGCGGGGAGTGGGGGAAGCACTTTTCGCCTCGGAGTTTGCTTTAAAGAGTTTCCCTGTCTCCTCTGTGTTATCCCTTGATATTGAAATTATTTTCTCTGTTTAATCCAACTCCTGCTGAGAAGCTGTGTGAGATTTAGGATGTGGGATTTTTTCTTGTACACTTTGGGATGCCGTTGCATTTCTTACTCTTGCCCCGAGGGTACGTCTCGACTTCTGCGCGTTCTGTTTCATGCAGGTTAACACCACAGGTGGGATGGAAGAAGCCTTCTGATTTCTAGGATATTTTTAGAATTCTGTCCTAAGCAAGGGGTAGAGCGAGCTTCATTGAGAAGCCTCTGGTTACGAGAGCCGTTCCCTCTGGGTCCCCACGTCCTGTCTTGTGTTGACTGAGGTTACACCTGTGGGCAACGATCCATCTGTCTCGCCGTCTTGTGCGTCTACGTTCACGAGGACACCTGTCCGTGCTCCTGGGCTCAGCCCCACGCTGCCTCCTCACACAGCTGTTTCTGCAATGTGCTCTCTGGCTGACACCCGCGGAAGAACAAGTCGTGTGGAAGTACAAGGTTTGCGACTTGGGCTCCAACAGAGGTTTTTAGACTTCTGAGTTTCCTGTTAGCTGAGCG